CGTGCTGTCAGCGCTGAGCACACGCTTGGCTCTGCTCCGCCGCCAGCGCGGCGTGCCTGGGCCCTCGTGCGGCACCGCTCTGCCCTTATTAGGGCAGCCGGCGCGTGGGGCCTGTTCCTCGGAGAGGTGCGGGCAGCACTGCTCCGCAACCTGCTCCCCCGCAGTCCAGCACTGCCTGCCTTGCCTGGCAGCCCACACCGGTGCAGGGGTCTGGGGAGCACAGCGGCATCTTGGGGAGGTCTCGTGGTCGTGCGGAGTTGCTCTCTGGCCTCTGCCGGCGGTCAGTAGCTGATGCTGTGGGGAAGGGAAGAGGAGGGATAGCAGTTTGCTGCGTCCCCTGGGCAGGCAGTGTCTTGGGATGGGGCAAAAAGCCCCATCCTGTGCCCCAGTCCTCCTGGCATCCCTGTCGCAAGTCCTCCTTCATTACCTGCTGGGCAGAGAACTCCTTCCTTCTCTCCCTTTGTTTTTGCTGGGTGCCCCTTAGTTTGTGTTTTTGAGAAACAGCAAATAACCGCTGCCCAATAACCACCCCTGTGCTGCTCCTGTTTGCAAACAAGAGCTAGTGTCTGTTTGTCCCTGTTGTAGATGCTGTCCCCTGATCCTCTCCTGGCTGGGGAGCTGGCACTGTGAGGGGTTTTCTTACTTAGTCCCCGGTGCCATGTCTGCTGCCAGTGCCACCAGCCCGTGATGGGACTGCATTTGTGTTTGCTCCACGCGAACAGCCTGGGTGAGAGGCAGGCTCGCCCCACACGCCCGGGGGTTTGGGAGCGAAACAGCGAGGCAGGCTGGAGAGCCCACGTGTCCCCAAATGTGCTTGTTTATCTGTGTCACGGTGGCACTTGCGGCCAGTGCTCCTGGCCCATCCGTGGGTGCTGGCTTGGGAGCTGCTGACGGGTCTCCCCGGGGTGGGACGCAGGAGGAAGGTGTTTACCTCCAACCGAGCTTCATCTGAAACCCTGCGACGCGTGAACATTTCCTTCCTCCTCCGTGCTTCCTCCCTGGCCGGGTCAGCCTGTGGTTTTCCTGGGGTGGAAGGAAAGAAGCTGAAACTGCCTCTTGCTTCTGGGGCTGAGCCGTGGTGCCCGGCATGGCCAAGCTGCCCCGGCACGTCCTGTGCCCCGGCCATCGAGAGCGAGCAGCTTCCAGCCTGCTGCCAGCTCTGGGGGCTGGAGAGCTGTGGCTCCCTGCCCTGTGTCTCAGGACTGGCTGGGCTGAGGGATGGACGGACGGACGGATGGACAGCCCTTGAGGAGCTGTGTGGGGTCTGGGATGGCGCCGTGCCTGCAGCCGGGGAGGGGGATGCCCTCAGCAGGGAGGCATTTTGGAGCTGGTCCCGGGCCCTGCTTGGGGCTGGCACCGGAGCTCCTCTGAGCACACTGGGGTCTGCAGGGGGCTGTTGCCTAGCTCTGACGTTTGCACCCCCTTGCCCCAAAACCCCCCAGGGCAGGAGAGGGACCAGAGGACCTCGGGGTCCCTGCTCCCCTTCAAAGAGCCTACAGGGCCATCCATGGAGCAGGGGTCACGGAGCCAGCAGCCCACAGAGGCGCCATTAGCACCGACCCTGGAGCACATCGTCGTTCTCCGTCCTTGCGTTTCACTCCCGGTTTTTGTGCGTGGTGCTTGCACAGAGCTGCGTGGCTCTGCTCAGGATTAGCGACAGCTGCCTGCAATTGCAGCTCTTCCCAGACAAGCGTCTCGCTCCCCCAAGGCTGGGGCTGGGGCTGTTTGGGGAATGCTGCCGGGGTGGTTTGTCTTGTAGTCTGCTCCAGGAATGTTGGCCAGACGGTCAAATTCTTCTCCCCTCTTGTAAAATGAGTGATGTGGGGCGTCTCTGGGAGAGCAGCCTGCCAGTCCCTCCTCCTCTGGATAAACCTGCCTGGCCCGCACCGCCCTGTCATGGGAACGGGCCCTTTCAACCCCAGCCACAGTAAATATGCATCCTGCCAAAGCGGAGGGGGAGGGCGCGGATGTGGTTGCCTGTTCTCCCTCCTCTGGCACCCCCCCATGCTGGCCGAGAGGCATGGCTGGCCGCGCCAGTGGCCAGGGGTGGCAGCCCATGTCCCCCTTGCCACCTGGCCGGCTCCTTGTCTTGCTGCTTCCCTGCTCCGGCACGGCTCTCCAGGGACGCCTCGCTCTTCCTGTTCTCCTGACAGGAGAAGAGAAATCTGGAGTCTGTCTGCACCGCTCCCCCCTCCTCCCACCACATCTCACCCCCCAAGTTGCTGTTTTCCGCAGAAATGTCAGTCTCGGCTCTCCTCTCCCCCACTCCTCTTGGGTTTTTTTTTCCCTCTAATCTTGGCCTTCATCTCCAATTACTTCTTTCTCTCCTCTCTCTCTCTCCAGAGACCCTGATGGACACGAAGTGGGTGACCTCTGAGTTGGCATGGACAACTCATCCAGAGACAGGGGTAAGTCTGGAGCGAGCCCTGGTCCCGACCTCCAAAGGGCACGGCTGGCCCCGGCCCCACGGGAATCGGGGCCGCTCACCAGCGCCTTTGCAGAGCTGGCTGTGTCTTCCCCTTCCCTCCTGTGCTTATCCTCTCGCCTCGTGAAACCATCTTCTCCTGACTCCGTGCCAGCACAGCAGGAGGGCTGTGGTCCCTGGCCCAGGTTGCTCTTAGTCACCTTGATGACCAGGAGGGTTGGGGTGGGTGGAGGTGCAGCTGCTGCTCTTCCCTGTTGACTGTTGCCTGGTCCCCTCACCCCATGCCGTTCGCGATGTGTCCGTGGCACTGATGTCCCCGGCTGGGGGTCTAACCTGCTCCTCTCTTGCTCACAGTGGGAAGAAGTCAGCGGTTATGATGAGGCCATGAACCCCATCCGCACGTACCAGGTGTGCAACGTGCGGGAGGCCAACCAGAACAACTGGCTTCGCACCAAGTTCATCCAGCGCCAGGACGTCCAGCGCGTCTACGTGGAGCTGAAATTCACCGTGCGGGACTGCAACAGCATCCCCAACATCCCCGGCTCCTGCAAAGAGACCTTCAACCTCTTCTATTATGAGTCGGATACTGATTCTGCCTCTGCGAATAGCCCTTTCTGGATGGAAAACCCCTATATCAAAGTGGATACAATTGCCCCAGATGAGAGCTTCTCCAAGCTGGAGTCTGGCCGTGTGAACACCAAGGTGCGCAGCTTTGGCCCTCTCTCCAAGAATGGCTTTTACCTGGCCTTTCAGGACCTGGGAGCCTGCATGTCCCTCATCTCCGTCCGGGCTTTCTACAAGAAATGCTCCAACACCATTGCTGGCTTTGCAATCTTCCCGGAGACTTTAACGGGGGCTGAGCCCACTTCTCTGGTCATCGCGCCGGGCACCTGCATCCCCAATGCGGTGGAGGTGTCTGTACCCCTGAAGCTGTACTGTAACGGTGATGGCGAGTGGATGGTACCTGTGGGAGCCTGTACGTGTGCTGCCGGATACGAGCCGACCATGAAGGATACCCAGTGCCAAGGTACGTGTGCGGCGGAGTGACCGTGGCTTTTGTCCCTGCAGGCGCGTTGATGTGGAGGAGGCAGTTCTGCATTGAGCTCGGTCTGGTTTTGGAGGCTTGGGAGCTGGGCAGGTCCCTGAGGAGGGAGCAGGGTGGTATCACAGAGGACTGGTCTGCAGTTTGACTCGACATCTTAAAGCCTTTGTGGTCCGGACTGGCGCAGTGTCTGCTGTGACACGGTGGTTAGCATCAGCCAGTGCAATCCTCTGCAGGACGCATCTCCTCACCAGGCGCCGTGGCTCAAGGCATGGTCCTAAGCAGGGATCCAGCACATTTCAGCCCCCGAGCATCACCAAAGCTTCCTTCTCGCCCCTGCTGCCGTGTCCAGCGTCTCTCCTCTCTCCCTCCTGTGGTGCTCGTGTCTGGGGCGAGCGGCTGTTCCTGGCAAGCGTGATTTCACGCCGCTTGTGCGGAGGCGCTTGGAAACCCCGGTGGTGAGCGGGGCCCCGCTGCGCTGACGGCGGGAGAAGCTATGCGGCTGCATGCTCCCCTGCCAGCGGGGAGGGTAGGGAGCGGCACAAAGACTGGAGGCGAAGCTCCCTGTCCCAGCTCAGAGGGAGGGAAGAGCATCCTGCACAGGGAGGTACTGGGGATGGAGAGCCGCCCTGGGTGGCAGGATAGCCCTGGGGGGGGGGCCTGCAGCGGCCGTGTTCGCCCCCCCCCGCTC